AAAGAAACAACCTGTTCTGATTTAGGAATCAAAGAGTTCCAATTTAGAGAACCAGTTGCCTTGATTTTAACAAATTGGTATACTTGTAAAAACAAATTTATTTCCAATAACAATGTAATCATTTACGCTAAATTATGGTTAAAAGTATAGCAGGGTTATCTGTTTGTATTTATCAAATCATAAGTGTTTTCATCGTTAAGCCATCTTTGGTTAATAAATTCCTTAAATGTTTAAATTAAGGCAACTCTCCCCTAAAAAAAGCATTTTTTTTTTTAATTTTATGTTTGTCTAATTCCTTCTAGACCTTGTAAAATTTTCAAATAACTTTCCTCCAGTTAGCTACTTCTGAATTAATTTTCGTTGACAAGTTAAAGTATCTAGGTCACATAATTGAAAAAATATTTAACTGATAATGCTGATATAAATCGTGAGATTAAATTTCTATGTGCATACAAGTAATCTTATCAGGTGGATTAAGAAATGCTCGGATAAGGTAAAAACATAGTTAATTAAGACGCACAAAATTATATATTCTTAAAACCTAAACATAGTACATTCCAGTTATATATAGATCATTATAACAAATGATTTTTTAACGCTCTAAAATTGCATGTTTCGTAATGAAGTTATATTTTATCTTAAGCAGCGGCCCTAGTAACTAAGGTTGTTTCTGTTGGAAAATAGTTGTTTTAAAGTATTGCTATTTATACACTAGATTTAGTTTGTTGTTTATTATTATTATTGTTTTTATTTACTTTAAGTAGGTATGTGCGGAACTACGTTTAACGGAACCGATTTTAAAGTAAAAACCTGTGACTCTTTTTTCAAAAAGGCGTCTGTATTTTTAAAATAAATTTTTTTGTATATTTATTTATAAACTTATATCAGCTTAGGTTCTATTTTAAAAGAAGAATAGTTGAAGTTCATTATCTCAATTTCTTTTTGTATTTACTAACGTTTTTATTTACTTTATTAGTATTTAAGCTTTGTTTATTTATTAGTATTTAAGCTTAAGATATTCATTTAATTTTCTACGCCCATTTTTTATGTACCAAATTTCAAATAAACAATAAAGTTTAATAACCCAACTTTAATTTAATCCACTTTAATCATAAATTCTTGTAAAATTGTTTGTTTTATATGAAAATTTCGCCATCGTTTAATAAATTTTAAGCTCATTCCAATGATGTATAAAAATATAATATTTAAAGAGTTTGAAATTGTTGCACGCAGGGCCGTCCCGAAAAAATTTTAATGAAGGAGGAGGGGGGGGGGGAGGAATTGACGTATCTGTTTATTGTCGACTAAACCCAAAAAAAAAATTTTGCCGACTAATTATTATAAAATGACAAAAAAAAAAAAAAAAAAAACCTCATAAGCCGACATTTCGCGACGTTAGAATTATCTTGTTCTATCTCCTCTTTCTGAAAAAAATGAGTTAATGATAGTGTTGTGTTCCTCAAAATAATGTCTTTCTACTGAATTGAAACCTAAGTTATAAGTAAAAAAGTTGCGGAAAAAACATAAGTTATAAAAGAAAATTTATGCGCCGTCTCCTAAAGTGTCCAATTTGCTGACTAATGAAATTCGTTGGGAGGCTAGACACCCATAACGCCCCCTCCCGGGACGGCTCTGGTTGAATAAGTACCTACTTTTAGTGTTATCATAATAAATTTTAAAGTTTGGTGTCACTGCATGGGTCAGTTTAATGACATGACCCTCACATACTCATTTTATTACTATTATTAACATTACCGTTTAATATATAAGTATTATTAACATTACCGTTGTTTATCATTTACTATCATCATTATTTACCATTGTTATCGTTATTATTATCATTAAACAAACATGTGAACACATTAAATATGTATACATATATTTGACATTGTGTATACATTAAATTTCGTTTTTCAAATTTAATTTTGATCATTACTATTCGTTGCACGAAGGTTTTAGTATCCGTTCGGTATTCGTTTAGTATTACAGTTTTAAACCGAAGACTAATATACGTTAAATTTCGTACCAAATTTAACGAATTGCTATTTTTTTAATGAAAACACTATTCGGGTAATGAAAATAAACTAGGCGTTGCCTGGTTAACGATTGCATCTAAAGAATGTTAGAATAAATTTGTGCAGAATTCAATTTTATTTTAATTCCTTTCATAAGAATTGCAATAAAATTACTTAAAAAAAATCAATTGATCTTTACAATGAAATTTGCGGCTAATGATTTTGTTTATTTGCTTGAAAGTAAAACTTTTTGGTATCAGAATATAAAAAAGAATCATATAATACTTGTTAAACCAGCAGCATTAATTATAAAAATTAATTACAACTTTTTAGCATAAAGACAAATCCGTTCTTTATTAAAGATTGTTTTTTCTAAACCCATTACTGCTCACGTAAAATTACAAACTTATTTAAATATTTTTTCTTTTAAAACATGGCCGCCGTTTTTTACATGCTCTTTTTATTTAAATGAAAAATGAATGAAATTTAGATGGTCTAGACATCTAAATTTTAAAACGACAAATACATGCAAAGTTGGTTCTATAAAAACGAAAGAATTTATACTTTTTAAAGACATCTATCCAACGGTTTGTTTCAAACCACTTTATTTAAAACGTTTTTATGACGTCTCAATTTCTAAAACGTAGACGCGTGCGCAGCGAAATCGACGTCTAATCGACATTTTGTGCCGACTAGGCAAAAATCATGGTTTACACCCATTTGTACTTGAATTTAAATTTAAAATATTGCAAGTTAATATTTGACAAATTTTAGCAATTAAAATCCTGTTTGTAAAGTTGAAGTTAAATTTTTAGTTAAACATGAGAAATTTTCAGTAACTGTATCAATAAAAACAGTAACTAATAAAATATTTAATTATTACGTGTCAAAAAAGATATAGATAATAAACTTTGACGTCATTCGTAAAATTGATGCTCTAACTTTCAAATAGTTTTACGGATGTCGGGTTGTGTGAATGTTTTTTGTTTTTTTTTGGCTGTTTGACCATTTCTTTGAATTAATGTTAAAATTAAGATTTGATCTGAGAAAAGTTTGGAGAGAAGATAAAAATTTATAAAGTTTATGTAGTAAAAAAAGAAAAGAATATTTTTAATCTTAAATAAAAATCAATGCTTTATTTACAAAAATATGTTAATAAAGCATTGAATTATAATTGTCATAATAACAAGTTAAGAATTATTAAGTGAGGTGCCGCTCATATAAAAGTGAATCAGACACCTAAGATTAATAATGAATTTTAATTAATAGTAAATTATTAATATTTGTAAATAGTATATAATAAAAATAAATTATAGATTTCAAATAATAAACTTTTAAAATATTATATTGTTATGTTTTCTTAGTCAAAAAATATAAACATTTTAATACGTAATAGACATTTTCAACAATATCTGAAAATTATCATTATTATTAATTTATTATTATTTGTATTAAATTATTATTATTTGCTAAATAAAAATAAAAATATTTTTGACTCAAAACATATAACTTTGAGATAAAGTATAAATATTTTTTGATAAGAACTTAGTAAAAAAATAATACATAATAAATTCAAAAGTGATAAAAAATCATTTATATAAACTAATAACCAAGAAGCGCGTATTATTAATTGTTAAAAACTTGAACAATTGAATAAGGAAAAAAATTATTTAACTAAAATTATTGATAAAAACTTTTAACTTCAGTGCATTTAGATTTTCGATGTATTTAGACTAAGTTTTTAAGGATCACAGTAATGTGAAGTAAAAAGTTCTTATAAAATAATCAATTATTTAAATAAAGTTTGTTTTTTTGGAACTAGGTTCAAAATTAAAACTAAAATTTAAAAATGTTTTGTAATAATATATGAGATATATAACAGATTTAAATGCGTACAAAATATTTAGAAACCTCATGAAAAAAAAATAAACCAAAAAAGATAAACCAAATAAATAAAGTATATCATTATAGAAATAACTTCAAATAAATAATTTTGTTTGAAAGCTAAGTTCGAATTATAATTGTGTTTTCATAAAAAGGGTTAGGGTAAGGGTTAAATGTCTATTTATAACATCTTTTCCTATTTATTATTTTAAATCTTGTTTAATCAGAAGGAAAGCACTGCTTACTATATAGGGAAATGCAGCAGACAGCTCAAAATCCTTTACATTATGCCTTTATTCCACAGTTAACTCTGTTGAACAAATACAATAATAGTGTTTAACATTGATAATGTTATCAGTGTTATATATGCACATGTTATAACAAGTGCTCAAGGGAAAAATCAGCTTTTTGGATTGATGTGAAAAAAATAATTATAGATACTTTATATTAAGTTTTTTAGTTTTACTTATAATACTAATATATTGTGTATGAAATATATATTTATTGTTTTTTAATCCTATATTCTATAATTTATAAAAAAAAATTTCTATAATTCGAAAAAAAAAAGTTGGTTAAATTAACTATCCTTAAAACTTGACCTTAAGATATATATTAAATTATACTTTGCGAGTATAATTTAATATATTATATATATATATATATATATATATATATATATATATATATATATATATACATATATATATATATATATATATATATATATATATACATATATATATATATATATATATATATATATATATATATATATATATATATATATATATATATATATATATATATATATATATATATATATATATATATAATATATATATATATATATATATATATATATATATATATATATATATATATATATATGTATATATATATATATATAATACTTTGCGAGTCTATACTTTTACGACTAATTATAATATTTTTTGTAACCAATCAGTCTCAGAAATTACCATTCCAAAAAATGCAAATAACCAACTTTATTAAAGTTGGTTATTTGTTATTATTTAACTCTGTGTAATTGTAGACAGCAATATTCACGTTTAAGGTTTATTTCTAACAAATCTTCATGACTTTTAAGATTAGTAAAAATGAAATTTGCTGAATATCTTGGGGCTCATCTCACACCCGAGTGGAGAAGTCAATATGTTCAGTATGAAGTATGTTCATATGTTGTTTTTAATTTTTAATTTCAATAACTTTATATTTAACTTTAATACGAAAACTTTTAACTTTCCTATATTTGATAAAGCAAATGTAATATTTAAATGGATAAACAAGTTTTTCCGTTCTGGACTGTGTACATAAAACAAGACAACTTGCTTACTTGTTTATCTTTTGAAATAGCTTTGTTATTTATATAATAATTATTATTTTTATATTGTTATATTTATATATTTAAATTGTTATTTATAGCTATTTGTATAATAATGTAGTAATGTATAATTATATAACGATATATAGTTAGTTATATAATAATTATATAATAACTTTGAAATGACATCAGACAATTTTTAATATATCAATTTTGACATTTTTTCAAAAAAATCAAAATAAACTTTTATTTAGTTTGTTATAAATTAGTAATAATTGCTGATTTATTAAGTTTCAGACACCACTTTATTGAAACATGAAACATTTTTCCGGAGATATTTTAAAAACGGTTATAGAAGAAAATAGAATATTTTAAAAACGGGTATAGAAGAAAATAGAATTATAAGAGCACAAGTTATTTTGTTTCTCTACTTTTAAACAACATTTTAAAGAAAAAAAAAGCTTTTATTTGATTTATTTGTTTTTTTTTTACAAATTTAAAATACTTTATTATAGTTCCACTCCGTTACATAATAAATCAAAGTGAATTTAACATACAGTGAAGAGCTGCACAAGCAGAACATAGTGTACATAGTAAACATAGTGTCAACATAGAATACAGTGGAGTTACATAGAATACATTCGAAAGGTGTTTTAATTGGAATACTTGCATTTATTTTGGAAATGTATTATGGCTATATTTTAGCATTTTTCCAGTAAAACTTCCTTTTTCTAAACTTTAAGAGATTTTGAAAGTAATCACTTAGAAAATTGAACGTACACCGTTGATTTAAAGCATTTTTTGCGACATTTTTTTCGATAATCTAATTTCGTGTTCACACTGTATTGATTGTATTGGGTAAGCTATACTGCTATAGGTTATACGGTGTTTTGCGCTTAATGCGACGAGAATTAAAAAAACAAATAACATCATAAAATTATCATACAAGTTGCTGCAAACATGATACTGCAGTTATATAACAAGATAGTCAAAAGCTTTCCTAATTGAAACTATAAAGTTTTCCTTACTTAATCAGTGATAAAATCAAAGGGTTTAAAAAATAATTTTAAGTTAATTTAAAAATAAATAGTTAGAAGCATAAACCTCAAAAATACTTTAGTGGTTTTTAAAAATAAAGTATTACTTAAGATTAAAATTTTAATTAATAAAATAAAGAACTTCATAATAATTGTGCATTTGTTTGTGGAGTTTCATTTATCTCGGGTAATAATTATTTTTATTATAAGTTTTAAATAAATTGTTTAAATTGTCACTGTAAAGATAAAAAACACTTTTAACCGGTTTTGTTGATTTAACTGTGTGTTTTTATTAAAAAAAACAACAACCTGTTTTCATTTAGAAATTAAAGTATTCTAGAAAAACGATTGCCTTGATTGGAACAGATTGGTGTCTCCGAAAAACTGAACTTATTTTTAATAACAGTGCAATCAATTAAGTCAAGTTATGATTAAAATTATTGTACGGATTTCTGCTTGTATTATTTAAATGTTTTCATAGTTAACCCATCTTCGCTTAATAAATTCCTTAAGTGTTACATTTTCGGCAACTCGGCAATACAAAAAAATACAACTTTATTGTAGAACATTAAGTTTCATGTCTTTCGGCAATCATCAGCCATATTATTCACAAATATTAAATAAAAATCGTTACAAAAAATAGAAATACAGCCTTACAACGGCATCTGATATCAAATAATCATGTCTAAAGAAACATATGTCTACGTGCAGAAACCAATTCACTTTTTTTTTTTTTTCCGGTAGTGATCTATTATCAAAAGTTATAATAAAGTACTTTTTATAAACACAAAGGTTACACTTTTTTTTGGATGGGTTGTAAGATTGGTTTCTTTTAATTATGTTCCACTTGATAATGGACATGATACCTGCATCTTTATGTTTCCAGATTTCTTTGGAAAGTTTTGTATCTTTTCTGTACTTGGTTGCATTAAAAAATTTAAGATGGTTTGCAAGACTATGCTTGAATACGTTTTCCCTTATACTAGTGTAATATTTTCCCGTAAGATTGGGATTAGGTGATGTTAGAGTGGCTTCATATAAAACATTTTTTGATAGACACTGGTTATTCAACGGGCATATAGCTTACTTAATGCATTTTTTTTCTTCTGGCTGTTGAGGTCGTTACCATAAGTCCTTATGGACTTATCAGCGAAATAAATGTATGTGTGTTGAAATTGTTAGCGTCATTTTTTGAAATTGAAGACATTTTAATTAATATGCAAGCTTTGTTTACTCGCTACACTTTGAATTTACTTAAAAATTTATTCTTAAAAATTTAAACTTCTAATTTTTGATAGAAATCAAATTGTTTTTTGCCTCACAAATTTGTTTTGATATTTTTTGGTATTTTATTTTATTTTACAGGTTGAGTTCTAAAATAATCATATGATTTAAAAACCTTTTGTTATATTGTTATACAGGAGTTATACAAGTGATGGAATAGATAGAATAAATTTTAACAAAATATTAAAGTATGTTAATCACAACACTTTGCATAATATAGTTTTTTTATTTAATTGGATAGATGTGACAGTTGTCATTTTGATGTATAATAATATGTATAATATAAAAGGATTTCCACTTGACGCAAATGTTTTCTATTGTTTGGCTATTGTTATTTATAACAATTGCAAACACACATATCTTGGCTTTTAAACAAGGAGTTAAACGTCCATCAATTAAATCGTCCTTGACCAGACGAATATCAGAGTAATTAAAAAATTTTGGCTTATGGTCTTTTAGTGTAATAAAAAAATTTTATTACACAAAATCAGTAAAAACGGAAGAACCGTTTATACTGATTTTGGCCCCCTCCCCGGTATCGTCGGCCCTGAGTTAGTCTTTCTTTTAAAAGTTTTCTTTATTTTTGTAATAATGCTTTCTTTAAATTCAAAAATAGAAGAGATGGTATCTTCACGAATTATTTTTAACTAAGTTAATTAAAAATAAGATAATTGGTTTGAAGATAAAATCACTTGAACTAAAATAAAACTAAGCTATACTTTTTTCAACATTAAAGTTGACAACATTAAAGTTGACAACATTAAAGTTGACAACATTAAAGTTGACAACATTAAAGTTGACAACATTAAAGTTGACAACATTAAAGTTGACAACATTAAAGTTGACAACATTAAAGTTTACTAATTATTCTTGTCGTCACATGAAATTAAATACGTTAAGCTAGTTTAAGATAATATCACTTATTTTAAAATGAAATTTAGATATTATTTTTTTTCCGCATTAAAGCTGTTTACTCTCTTTGTTATCAAATATTATTAAATCCAGTAATCTGCTTTTTAACAATTGATAGTTGCTTTAAGGAAAAGTGAAAAAACCAAAGTTCGTTTTTATTTTTATGGAATATATTGCTTATTGTAATAAGCATTCCAACTTTTTTGTTGCAGAAACAAGAAAAGTTAAAATGTTTCTTTTTGAGATTTATATTTTGTTATGATGTGACTCTATTTCTAGACTTGATACTTTATAAAATTTAAAAATGGCGTAAAAAAAATCGCTTCTTAATTTTTTAATTCTTCTTATAGCGTCTGTTAGTGATTTTATTTTCCTTAAAAATCAAAATTATCATTTATATTAGCCAGTTTATTCAGCATGTTTTACTGCGGTCAGTACTTTGTCTTTATTGCGTAAATTTAAGAGTTTTAGAATAATTTTTTTTACAGTTTTTTATCTTTAAACTGACTGGAACGATGCATCGTATCAGTCAAAAAGACAAGGTGAATGATCAAAAAGACCTGTCTTTTTAATTCTTGCAATAGCATGTTCTACCAGAATTTGGACAGGTGCAATTTTTTAAATTCTTTTTCCTATGTAAGTTTATTTTCACCTTCAAGATATGGTGGTGAGTTAAGAGTTATTCTATTACTTGTTTGCTTTATCAAAACCCCAACATGTCATCAAATTAACACGTTTTTCTAACAATTTTAATATTATTAGTTTATTATTTTAATATTTAAACTTTAATATTTAAACCATTTATCTTGATTTATTTTGGTTTATCGCTTGATTTGCCTGCATATCTTAAAAAAGAAATAAAACGTAAAGGAACTATTTGGTGCAATACTAGTCAGACCTTTTACTGAGTGATAATGTTCATAGTTTGAAAACATTGCTGATTGACTGCAACAGCTAGTTTTTATCACAGTAAAGTTTTTTTTATATAATCAAATGTTTATAATCACATGTTTACAACCACGTGTTTACAATCACATAAGAATTTAAAAATTGTAATCTTTTAAGGGTCTGATCCTGCGTAGATGACGTCAGTAAATAAAATAAAAACTTTTTTTTTATTTACTGTATTTACCTCCCCACTTTTTTTATTCATTTTAAGGCAAGCCTTACCCAGGGGTTAGTCTTTTTTTTTTACTTTTTAATTTTGTTTTAACTATTTTTCAACGTTTAAACTCGAAAACATGAACCTTGATAAATAAGGCCGCAGCGCAGTAAAACAAACTGAACGTGGTAAATTCAGGGACAAAGTGGGTTATATGTGCAACATAGTAAACTTGAAACTTCTTCAAACTACAAGCTAAAAATTGAACTTAAATTTTATATCTAACTATTAATTAGTATTGCAGTTATAATAACCTTGCTGTTGAGTACGAAGTCAAAATGCAAATTCATCTCTTATCTCATAAAAAAAATTCCATTAAATCTATTCTAACATTATATAGGATACGCATATAATTAGCACACACGTACACACTTATATAAAAATATTTTAAATAAAAACAATAAAATATTTTATGGCACTTTAAGTTTGACTTCATTTGACAATCATTCA